ATATCCCTTTACTGTCATTCACATCAGCTGCCTTATCTTTTGCTTGTTTTTCCTTGAAAAGTTTTAGCTTTGTTTCTCCCACTTCAACAGCATCTAGGACTATGTGCTAGGAAAACTGGAAGTTATAGTATCAGGTCCAGTGTGATTTCAGAAAATGGAGCAGCACCTGAAACCAGTCAGCACTACTACCACTACCATAACGAGGAATTGCTTGGGTAGAATTTCCTGAGCTGGCCGCAAACTACCACCTTCATTAACGATACCACCAGTGCAGTGTCGAGACCTCCAACACTTCAGTAAATGGATGTGATGAACCTTAGGAAAAAAGCCCAACAAACTATCAAGGACTCATGCTACTCACTCCTCTAGCGCCTGGATTTTGGTACCTACACTGCAGTGCCCTGTATCTCTATGTTTCTCATTACCACAGTGAGCTGCTTTATCATGCACTCAGCCTCATTAATGAGCAAAGGGACACAGCTTCATTACCAGATGTTGTTAATTCTTTTGGGGTTTTTGTTTGTTTGTTGGATGTTTTTGTTTTATTTTGGAGAGGAATGTCTTGCATAAGACATTATAAGTGAGGACCTTTTAAATGGACAGAAGGATCTTCTGAACAATGCAAGCTTGAGGAGGGGTTTTTTTTGTTTGCTTGTTCTTTACAATAGTTTGTGTAGGAACAATCTTAATTTCCACCATGTTCATAGGACACAACTTGCAAAGCCCCAAAGTTCCAATTCCAAGCAGTTCTGTCACTGACTGTACTAGTTTTACATTCTCTCTGTTTTCACTCTAGAATAAAATGCAACGTTAATTCTTGATGGAAAAGCAACAGCCACACATACCTACAGAGTTGACTTCACCACAAGAGAGCACACACACGGTGCCTGCAGCAAGCTGGGCGGCGGAGCAGTTCCCAAAACTACAGCTTGCACAAAAACTGCAACCATAGCCTTCAGTTCAAGAACCCTGCCTAATTCTTCCTTACTTTACCACGTTAATTAGAGAAGAGGTGACCTGTGCTGTTTTGCTTGCATAATAACCTGAGATAAAGAATGTCATTGCAACTACATGTTTTGTCATTATTGTAAATCCTTTCTTTGCTCCACTTTAACAAAAGAGATCCTAGGGTATTTTTTTCTGGGCCTTCTCTCAAACTTCTTTCAGACCACTCATGCTTGTGTTTTCTTGTTTTATCACTGCTGCAGGGTTGTGAGTGTGTTTTCAGACAGGCTCCAGAAGTGTGCTGAAGGCATCGTCAGCAGTTGGCGACAGTATGAAACACAAACCACTGTTCAGCCCATTAACCTACAAAAGAGCAACACTTTTACACAGCTGTAGCTGCAACACGCAAAACTACCTCTGACTGTTTTCACGGCTTGGAGGTACGATGAAAAACAAATCATTTACCTGCAAATTTTGTCAGCCAGAACAATAGTAAGCAAAGAACATACACAGCTGTATCCAAAAATAAGTTTGCTTTCGAAAAAACTGTAGAAGACAAATTAGAAACACGAATGTATTAACAACTTAACTTACCTATTTATTTCTCATATAATATCCAAGTGGTTTCTACTGCCTGACATCAACTGGTGTTCTTACTGTTGGAGCAGAGAGAGCAAGCTGAGCGCTGCACAGAACAGAGACACTGTCTCTCCTTGGAGACTACTGAACCATACAGAGATAATGTAAAATGAATTAAAAGTGCCAGAACAAGGTTCTCCAGAACAGCTTAGGATTCCATCCTTGCCAACTAACTTAACGCTGAAAAATACTATGAAAAACATAGCCAAAAATCCATCGCAGCAAGTGAGATGTCTCCGTGTTCTCAAGTGCCTGGTGTAGTGTACACAAAGCAGTTGTGTGATACTGGAAGAAAGGATAAGCAGTCTTGGATTTCCATTTTTTCCACTTAATCTAAAACAAAATTTGGTATCTTCTAATTACTCATTTGTAAATTCATAAATAAGGGAAGTCCAACATCTAATCCTCCATTTGTAAAATTAAGTAGAAGCTATCTAAACACACTAAACCTGAACACTGGTTTATATATGCAGATCACCAACATCTTGGCAGGCCATATAAAAGCCATCAAATATTACAATCAAAACACATTTTGGTTCCAAGCCAGCATTCAGTTTCAGGTTTCATCTTATAAAGCAATTCTTATAGTCTGCCAGCATTGCACTTCTGTTTGACCAATAAGCCAGAAAACCACTAAAGGTAAAAACAGCTTAAAAAACAAAATCAAAACCAAAACAAAAAACTACCCAAAACATCTGCTTTCTGAGCTTTAATTTCTAGAGTTTTGTATTCCTAAAATATTGCTCCTATGATTGGTAAAAATTGGTAAGAGAGTTCAGTAACAAACACCATGTTGGGCAAAAATGACTGGTAATGAAGAAAATGACCACACGATGGCTCCAGACCTAGAGGCTTTTAAACAGTTGTATTTAATGTTCATACAAAACAAGTCAGCTAGCTCTGCAGCAGCAGGGGTGAAGGGATACAGCAAACAGCTCACCCACTTCTAATCTAGGCAATACAGTGGTTGTCTGCTTTTCACTACTTCCTCTGGGTCACCCACCATGTAAGAACTGGGTCACTGTCCTCTCATCTGTGGTTTGGAGAAACCCCTTCAGGGGGTGCCCAAGAGGATATTCAAGAGTACTGAAAGGGATACAGCAAGGAAAATGATAGAAACCCACTTGTTAGTCACAGCGAGAAGCGGAATGAAGCAGCTCTCTTCCATTTACTCATTCAAAACTCATCAGGGTAGAAAGGCTGCAAGAAAATTAAAAGTAACAAAAACCATCAGTTCTTAAAAGGCCATAATGAATTACCATGCATAGGTGCACCGCTACTATGCACTTAGTTTTAAGTATATCTTGTAAGACTGTAAAAGAGTTTAACCAGTGATAAATAGTAAGCTGCCTGTTGGGACCTCAGCTTTTGAAGCTCTGGTTTGCAGACAAACAGAACCCCTCTCTCCCAGGTTGTTCGTTCATAAATTATTCACTAGGAGGTTTCTTGTACCTTCTTTCAGGCCTTCCAATCAGCAAACAGAAACACAGTTTCGAGACACACAGTTCGTTCTTTTTCTGCACAGACAGCCCGCCCTATCTGTAGTCCCACACCTACCACAGAGGAAGGACATCACACAGGTGTCAAGTAAGATCTCTCATGGCAGAAAATGAAAGGCACCTTTCCTTCCAGCTGTTCACTGCACCGTAACATTTCACGAACCTCTGTCTGAGTGCTTTGTCATGGTATGACGGATTACCTCCCTAACCTCCTGTATGATGAAGCTTGCGCTGTTAACTACTAAGGCAGATTGCATTTCTGCAGCACAGCTAACATAGTATTTTCATAATTTCATTGCACTGGTCCTCCTTTCCCTTTAGAAGAACTTTCAGGAAAATTAATGGATACAGTGGGGGATGTATCCTGCCATAAGGTTGTGTTACACAGTGTTAGACTGTAGGAACAAGCTAGATATTTTGTTAGAACCACTCACCAAGGGACACCTGTGAAACTTGCAGTTGGAAGACTGGATGCTGCAGCAGCCAAAAACAAAGTCCTGTTCCACCCATCTTAACTAAACCCCATGAACTACCTCAGTGACCAGCAGAAACGAGGGGCAGGTGAAGAGCAGACTGCCCTCTGCATTGTTAAAAAATATGCAGCATGTGGATACTGGTGACAACTCCCAACAACTATGTAAGAGCACAGGCATAGTAGGAGTAGCAGAGCAAGAGTTGTACTGACAAAAAGTACGCTTTTGTTCCTTGGAGTTAAGCTTACTCAGCTGGGAGAGGCATGCAGAGTGGTTTTGCTGGCATACCAGTACTTTCACACCAGTGCTGGAGTATACCAGAGTACTGCAGACAAAAAGAAATAGGTAGAGACTACGGCTAAAGGCAGTGCTGCAGCTACTTTGTACTTTAGGAAGAAATTTAGAGTGAAGTGGCAAGAGGCAAGGGAATGTTCTTTGCCTGCACTACAGGCTGCATAATAATGCTGTCTTATTGAACAACAGCCTATAAAATATTCAGTGGGTATCTCTTTCACTGACCTGGTAAAATGTATAGCTCAGGGCCAAGAGGTTCACTCTGACACCTCAAAGTTTCCCACTAGGAATCTGATGCAGACTAATACCAAACAGCAAATGCTGTCGTTACAGCATACGGAAAAACATTAGAAAGACTTCTAAACCAGCAACTTTCTCCTGAAAAGAAAAAAAGATAAATTGTTGTTTATTCCACACTTTGAGTAAAACCAGCAATCACACCACCAGTGAAAAAGATGCTCTCTACTATAGAGCAAACTAGCAATTTACAACATACCCCACAAACCTCCTCCACCACCATGCCATCACCAAAGGTCCTCAGCTTTTTTTCAGGTAATCCAGAAGCAACAGAGCCAAATTCAAGTTCACCACGAGACCTCAGCAGAGAGCTTCCCAGTATCAGAAACTACCTGGGGGCAGGCTCAGTTTAGGCCGATTCTGTTATCCCGAGCCTCAAGCTGGGTTTTGCACCCAGCAAGACTCTGCACTTGGACAAAAGCTCAGAGAAAAGGGAAGCAGATTTGCCAGATGTGGTCTGCTACCACTGGCTGTCCAGTTTGGCCCAAGAGTCACAACATATTAGCACCAATAAACTCCAATTTCAAATGATTTTTTCCAGGAATTTTAAAGCTGTTGTCCAGCTCAGTCTAACACGGTATACATACAGAGGTTCCTTTCAGTAAAAGAAAGAAGGCTTAAGTTTGCTTCTATTCATGGCTACTAATCACATCCTCACGAAACAGCACACACCCAAAAAGGCACTGGTCTCCACACACTGTACCTCTGAATCAACAAAGAATTCAGTTGAATAGGATAGGTGAAAGCAAGATGTAGGTCCCACAGAAGTCAAGTCCAAAGTCCATCTAAGGTGCTGAATTTCATCTCTCTGAAGAGGACAAAAATGACAAGGGCACAACAACAACTGTGCTTTAACTGAAATTTTTAATAGGGATGGATACAATTAATATACTGCAAGCCAGTTAACAATTTTCACTGAAATCTTATTACCTTAGTGAATAAATTAATGGTCAGCTGAACAAAAAACCCCCGAAGAATTAAGTAAAGATATTGCAAATCCCTTGAGGAGCCCTTCCACTGCTACAGTTACTGTTCTCACTGATACACACCCAAAAATGCATTGTTATGATTTTTCTGTTCTTCCAAACGCCTCCCACTGCAGCACCTGCAATATTTCAATGACTAACTCATTTAACAACTTACAGTCCATTATCAGGTGGGCAGTTCTTTGGTAAAGGTGTGGCAACAGATTCTTTGCTTTCTGTCAATGCTCGTGGCTGATGGACAAAAACACTGAACCTGACACCTTGGTTAGCCGCTGCCCTCACAAAACCACTATTCGCGGTCATGGTGATGGCTTTTAAAGTGTCTCCTGTCCCGAAAATGGTTAGGGAACGGCTGTTGATTTTTGAACTAGCCACTAGTCCTAAGGCACGGTCAGACGGCTGGTCTGGCACCACATTAATTCTTTTAACCAGCAACGCAGCTCGCTCCTTCTCCCCAGGTCCTCCCAGGGTTTCCAAGATGGACTGAAAATCTCTGACAGCTGATTCACAGGCAAAGAGCTCTTTTCCCTCCATGAACTCCTCCAGCTGAGGCAGGACTCTCTCCCTCCTTTCTTGAGCTGCTTGCTCTGTTAGCACTTTTTCTTTGAAGACAAAGTAGCAGCCACCATAGCTCAGAGCAGAGACGTAGGTTATTAAGGTAGTGATGTCCAAGTTAACTCTATTGCACACATTTACTTTGATCTGGGTAGGGTCACCTGCAGAAGCTCAGGGCCTTCTTCATCTGATTCACTGGCGCTAAGGTGCTTGTTTTCTGCGGACGGTTCAGCCAGTGAGTTCACAGCAACAATGTCTCCTCGGACAGATATTCCCATCTCCTTGAGCCTCTCTGCCATAGGACTGGACACGCTGTTGTAGAACGCAAAGATGATGTGGGGATTGCTGTACTCCACTGGCTGCTGACAGCTTGCTTGCAGGAAGTCCTCTGCCTGCTCAATGACGCTTTTGTCACCATACTGGCCTCTCCCCAGCCAGATGTTATGCAGGGCCTCAGCCTTCCGACCAATGGCCTTCACCCACGTGTGACCTCCGTTTGCAACGACATCTACCACCAGCGTCTGCTTGTCTCCAAACCGGTCCTCATAAGCAAAGACATGGAGGATGCTGACAACATCCTCCAGGTTCTCTGCTGACTGAATAATGGCTTGGAGATGGGTAAGGTTTGTACTCTGCAGATGGGATTCTTTAACGGCCACCTTCCCTGCCTCCACCTTGTGTAAGAAGTTTAGCTCAGCCTTCAGTTTGCCACATAGTTTTGCCGCACCTTCTATTTTTCTTTTCTGGGACTTGGAAAGGGCTTCCGCTCTCTTGATCAATTCTTTGGCAACAGCAATTCTTTCACAAAGCAGTGACTGCACAGACATGTTGGAAACATTATTCCTACCAAGGGAAAGCAAAAGAGAAGATTGTTATTGCATGGCCAAGAACAAAGACAGTCAAAAGAGGTCTTTGTAACATTATACACCAGAGCTTTGCAGTAGATTTAGTGCAGCAGCTACCAGTATTGTAAAGCAGAAGCACCAGGAACCTCAGCAACAAGTCCCACCAAAGAGTTCAATTCCTTTGCTTAGCCTCTGGGGATCCAACCTACAGCCTCAGAAGATCTCAGTGCTCAACAAGGAAGAACAGCAGCATCCAAGTCTCCACACACACATTGCAAGTTTGCGGTTTTTCCCCCCGTGTGTGAGCCCGTCACTGAGCTAGTCACTTGGAGAGATCTCAGCTCTCACAGCTCATTTGCAGAAGTTGTCATCCAGAGCAAAATTAGAAATCCTGTTGATGCCATAAGCAAATCTTGCCTTTCCCTCTCACCACAGTTACCATTAAAATATAAAAACTACCCACCATACTTACAGACATACATAGAAACTGTGAAGCCTGGCTACCAACAAGTATTTTAACACAGCATAGAGGAAGTCCATTGTATTTTATGATTATGGGTAGCACAGCTCTGTCCCCTCCAGCTTCCACTGCACAACTCAGAGAACGAGCCCCTAACAACCTCCTGCAAAAGCTTCAACATTACACAACATCATTACAGACTATGATTCGTAATTCTAGAGCCAGGAAGACCTAGAAATCTCTGTTTTCTAGTTCTACTAGGTATTTACTGTGTTGCATCCACTAAGTCTATTCCTTTGCATCCGTATTACTTTAGTATGTCTCCCTGAGGAAAGTATCACAGGAATTACTTAACTGAATGTGGGCTGGCTTTGAAAAACTTGGGATTCAATACCACAGCAAACAATACCATTTTTTATGACAGGCAGTGAACAGCCACTACGAATAGCAAAATCAACCAGTTTGGACTCCCAGCTACAAGTATGAACACATCCTCCTCACCTAAGCTGCATGTTGAAGCCAACTGGTATTAAAGGGCAAGAAAAACGCAGCTTCAGCTGAAAACAAGCAATGGGATGGGGCCTGGGTCCTTCGACAGGCTCTGCCAGTACAACTGCAGGGCTGGGCTTCTCGCAGCACCCTTGCATTACGCCCAAGCTCCAGTACAGCCAGCATGAACGGCTACTGGCCCAGTCAATACCCAGCATCACCACAATCTGCCCCCTTCTTTGAACCAAAAAGCGTAATGTCTCCCTTCGGGGTCAGGGGAGGCCAGTGAAACCAGCCCCAAAGTCCTCACCACCGCCATGAGTTTATTCTTACACCTAAAGCAGTGAGCGAAGCCCTCAGTCGCTACTCTGGCACCTCTCACCACAGCAGCTTCAACTTCTACAAGCATGGAAAGAAAGGCTTCTAGATGAAGCTTGCTTCCAGTTTTTCACAGAATCACAGAACAGTGGGGGTTGGAAGGGACCTCTGTGGGTCACCCAGTCCAACTCCCCTGCCGAAGCAGGGTCACCTACAGCAGGCTACACAGGACCTTGTCCAGGCGGGGCCTGAATATCTCCAGAGAAGGAGACTCCACAACCTCCCTGGGCAGCCTGTGCCAGGGCTCCGTCACCCTCAGAGGGAAGAAGTTC